TTGTTATTATTATTGTCATCATACCGTTATTGTCATTATTAGTTCTTTTATACCTTTTAATATTGTTATTATTAATATTATTCTAATATTATTTTTATAAATGCATTTTTCATTTATTGTTAAGTGGATGTAAATGAAAAGAAAATTAAAGCAACGACATAAAACACTTTAGTTTTAAAATCTCTTTTGGTAAATATTTAGTAAATACACAGTAAATTGGAGCCAAGTTGACTTGGGGGTCTCGAGTTGACTTGGGGCCGAGTTGGCATGGGGCCGAGTTGACTTGGGGCCGAGTTGACTTGGAGCCAAGTTGACTTGGGGCGAGTTAAATGGGGCCGAGTTGACTTGGGGCCGAGTTGACTCGAATCGTTTTTGAAAGTGGGCCTGATCGTCCTGAAAATGGGCCCGATATCTCGGAAATGGGCCCGATCGTCTGTCACCCATATGCTAGGCCTAAAACTAAACAAAAATAGTGTTGAGTCTTCAATTTCCTTGCTTACCATCAATAACAAAAACTCCTACAAATTACACTTGATCCTTATTTTAGCTGATATATAAACATAAAATGTGGCATAGCTATTTGATTGGATTTCGAGTCATACTTACCCATTTCGACAGCCCGCTGCGACGAGCATGAGCGGCGAGCAACAATGTTCTGCTGACCTGCAGGCGCGCCTGTGTGTGGGGGTGGACCGCAGCGAGACATGACTCGCTCGCTACTACGCCGCCACGCTTCTTTGCATGGGAAAATTTTTCTGAATCTGACATCGCGTTATTGTACGTCAACTTATGGTAATTCGCGTCAACTTGCGTCAACGCCCGACAGTCGTCAACGCGCAGCAACACTATCGTGTACAATGATTATTGGGACAGTCCCGTTCCACACAAATTTTTCTAATGGGTCCACAAAGAATGGCTCCACATTTTCAAAAATGCGTCCAAACTATGTAGTTTTATGCATAAATGAGTACATTTTTGGAAAAATGGGTCCATATTTCTCATATTTAGCCTAAAATGGGTAAAATTTTAAGAAAATGGGTCCAGATTGTTCATATTTTTGCGTAAAATTGGTCAACTTTTTAGAAAAAAGATTGTTTTAATAAAGCCCCTGTACCACAGATGGTTCGTAGAGCCCTGCTGGTACAGGTAAGACTTCTAACCCTTCCCCCAATGAATTGATCCGCTTCTTACATAATGTTCCTAGATTATTAAGGGGCCGAATTCAACAGTTCATCTCAGTTTTATTAGAATGGTTCTGAGAGGCTGTTTACCAGAAAAGTAACATACAGAAGAGGAGCGTTAATACGAGAGAAGTGCGTCTTCCTAACATTCATAAAACAGATTAAAAAAAAAAACATTCGCCGCGTAATAGCGCACACAGTAGGCTGGACATTTAATCCGAACATCAAATCACAGTTACAATATCATTGTTCAACCAACGGTGTTCACAAACAGGCGATGCAAATATGCATAGGAAATGTATATATTAATTATGCCAATGCACTTTCACACTTGAATTGCACTTGAATTACCTTTGTGTTTGACAATAGTCATGCATAACAGCTTCGTCATTCTGACCAACCACCAACGGCTATAATTTGTATCGTGTATTATAATTCGCCACCTCAAAACATTGTTATTTTTCGCAGAAAGGTAAGTTACGTCGTCTTATGCGTTTAACTAAAATATTGTTTAACATTTAGTAAACGTAAAGCACATATTATGTTATGTGCATATCAATAAAATAAGGTTTCAATCTAATAATATATCGTCGAGGGTATTGATAGTAAGGATATAATAGGCCTACTAAGTCTATACCAGTAAATCTCGGCTTGTGTGCTACCCATGGTAATAGCCGGTGACATACCCACATGACTCGAGCAGGCACAATAACACGTTCGCACCGTATCGATGTGGAGCAAATTGGCTCGGATTCTGGGGGATTTGAAATTCAAATCTGAGCAGTTAGTCGAATAAGGCTGATTCCATGGGATTCATTTTTAGTTGTCATTTGTAGCCTACTAGTCTAGACTTATACCATTTAACAGCAATCTTCATAAAATACAATAAAATGCAAATGGTCGCCTCGTAAAATATCTTACTTATGGCCGGACAAATACTTATTGGCCAGATAAGACTCCATGGCTTTTTTCAGCAAATATTATTATATGTTTGGAGAACTCGTTTTATCTCGCTACTTTCATAGACGATATGGGCCTAAGATGATGAATAGGCTACACTGAGCATGCTCTATGTTAAATTATTACCATATGATAGGCCTAATGCAATTTTTCAGGTTTTGTGATATAACTCGCTAGTCACACTTCGGCATAATGGGAAAAACTTAAGTGAAGCCTACCAAAAACAAGCTTAATAATGACGACAATTATATATATTATATAT